AAGAGCTAACCTTTCTTCCTCTGTCTTCTTTTATTATTCAGGAGGACAATTGCTGACCCTGACAAGCAGTTTTTAATACATCTGATGTATTACAAGGTTACTGCATTACTTCCAGGCAGAAAATATTCCATAATATTCTTTAGTAGAGCATATATCTACTGATGGCCCATCTTGTTATTAGGCACACTTTTCATTATAAAACTGAGTATTAAGACAATTTGTTCTTACTCTATTCAGACTTGTTTGTTAAGCATGATTGAAAGGATTCTAAATAACATTGGCAACTTGCTTGCTTGGCTAGTTTATGATTGAATGAACCCAGAAAATGGATTGATCCAGCAACCAAGTTAAGTATGTCATGCAAATTCAACACATCAGTCTGTATTGGTTTAGGATGTTTTCCCTCCATCAATTCAGAGATATGGAAAAGGATGCAGGGAGAGACCAAATGAATTAAAAAGAGGGAGAAAAGACGTCAGCCTTATTTTAAGCTTACGTAGTTATTTATAGTTTATAGTTCAGAAGTATTTCCCAAATTTATACCAAAATTAAAGACTAATTTAATTATTTTTATTTTTCGTAAGTTCTTTGGAAGTTAGGTCTCAAAATTTACAGTGTGTTTTGAACCGTGATAGATATTAGGGCGAGTTTTTAGGAATGCTCCACAAACATTTATAATATGAAAGTGTGGAATTTGCACTGTGTGCTGAGTTTTTATGTGAATAATTAAGAATGCCACTTGAATTCTAACTGCATCCTGATGACCAAAATGTAGAAGTTGGTGGACCTAGATGCAATACTTAAACAACTCACAGTTCAAGGTGTTCTGTGTATACATGTTTCCATTTTTATTGCATGACATGGAATTTTTTTTACATCAGAATTTTGAATTGGGTATTAAAGTCATCCTCTAATTATACATAAAAGACACACAGGATTTCTGGAATGCAACCTTTCAAAATTTTGCCCACTTAGCTGAAGGCTTTCTAGCTGGCTTACAGTAGGTCAGTAACGATAAAACAAGAAGCTAGTAAACTTGTCATTAATGAATTTTTTTCCTGTCTATTTAACCATGCAGGGTTGGAGGAGATGCAGAAAATATCAGAATATTATAGGAAAATGTGTTCCCCTCATTTTCAACAAATCAAATGTTAAGACAAGATAAACAGAAGCAAATAAGTACATTACTTATTTTAGAAACTGAGAAATGAAGGAAAGTATTCTAGGATATTTAATTCCATGGGTTGTCAACCTTACAAAGGTTTATTAGAGAATATTTTCCATGAATTTATTTTTCTGTCCAGTTTAAACTGGGACTGTTTCCAACATACCCTTTTGAATATAGCTCTGAAGAAAAGTACATCCAAACTTTCCTTTGTAAATGGTTATTTGCAGTCTTGAATCAACTAAATTTTCTCTTCCATGTCCTGTGCTTTCCCCTATGCCTTTACTATTGGTTTCTTCATCTTTTATGTACATACTACTAAGGGGGGGGGGAAATCAAACATCTTATTGCTTGAGCACATCAGGTTACCACCTATGTATAAGGAATACTTTAAAAATAAGTACTATAATTCCTTCATTGAAAACAGTGCAACCAAGAAAGAAATGAGCTTCTGCATCCACACATTTTCATGGACAAAATAGCAATTTTGACCCTTCGTTGGTCCTGGGCTAAGCATTATATGACAGACTTCCTCATACTTCAAGGCTTAACTTTATTCCTTGATTTGCTTTGGCTACATAATTCTTCAACCCAACTTGGCAAGATAAGAATCTTTACATTAGACAAGAGGCAGAGGCATCCACAGAATTCAGTGACTTTAGTGACTTAACAAAATAAGTTTCAAGCCCCACCTCTTATGCAAATCCATGCAACATCACAACACATTTGCAGAAAAGATGGCATTTGCCTTACTTTCTATTCTTACTGGCAAGAATTCATTGTCATAAGAGCTATGAAATCATTGAGCACATATAACTTCAAAAAAAGATTTGAACCTTGACTCAAGCACAGCATTTCTTGGCTTCCACCCAGGCTTATATTTTTTTGCCTCCAAAAGAGGCACCAGGTCTTATTTTTGGAGAATGTCTTACCTGCTTACCTTAGAACTGCCACAGCCAGGCCTCCCGGCACTGACACCCTTGTGCTGCTGCTCAACTTCTTCTGTGGCCTCTTGCATCTGATTGCGGCTAGACGCCACATGGTACATTGCGCCTGTGCCACCACTCATGGTAGGAGGCTGTGTGGCACATTGTGCCAGTGCCACTGCTCGTGGCAGGAGTCTCTGGGGCACATTGCTCCAGTATTGCCACTCACACATGCCACAGCACAACACACCACACGGCTTCTTGCTGTGAGTGGTGTCATGCGCCACATGGCGTCCTGCCACAATCGGCAGCACTGGCGTGATGCACCATGATCAGCAGCACTGGCACGATGTGCCACATGGCATCTGGTTGCGAGCAGGGGCACCAGTGTGATGCACCACATGGTGTCTGGCCACAAGCGACCACAAGCGGCCACAAAAGATGTCGGGCAGCAGTGCGACAGATGTTGGGGTGTGGGAGGCCTGGCTGTGGCAGTCCTAAGGTAAGCGGGTGAGGGGCGCGTGGACCCCCCCAGCTTGATTTTTACCCCTACACCTCACCATACCTCATACAACCAGATGGTGGGACGGGGTGGGCAGGGTCTCTACTAGCGCTTATTTTTGGGGTAGGGCTTATATTAGGTGCACACATAAAAATCAAACTAGGGCTTATTTTCAAGATAGGTCTTCTTTTCAGGAAACACGGTAATAAAAGTTGGCATGTCCTTTTTCAGACTTCTATTCAAGCCAAAAAAAAGAGAGATGTCACTGTTTTTATAAGATTGACTCATTAAAGTAACTAACTTATTAGATAGTATGCTTCAAAGGGAAATAGATATACTAATTTATGTTAATTGATTAAGTCATATGAGGACTAATATATACTAGCTGTGAAGAATAATACGAACCAAGCTTATTCTCGCCTATTTTAGTCCTGACTGGCTATGAATTTATAATAATAATAATAAAGTTGGAAGGGACCTTGGAGGTCATCGAGTCCAACCCCCTGCTCAGGCAGGAAACCCTACACCATTTCGGACAGATGGCTGTCCAGTCCCTTCTTAAAAACTTCCAGTGTTGGAACATTCACCGCTTCTGGAGGCAGGTTATTCCATTGGTTAATTGTTCTAACTGTCAGGAATTTTCTCCTCAGTTCTTAGCTTCTCTCCTTGATTAGTTTCCATCTGTTGCTTCTTGTCTTACCTTCAGACGCTTTGGAAAATAGTTTGACTCCCTCTTCTTTGTTGTAGCCCCTGAGATATTGGAACACTGCTATCATGTCCCTCCTTGTCCTTCTCTTCATTAAACTAGACATACCCAATTCTCGCAACTGCTCCTCATATGTTTTAGCCTCCAGTCCCCTAATCATCTTTGTTGCTCTTCTCTGTACTCTTTCTAGAGTCTCAGCATCTTTTGGTGAGCTATCATAAAGTAATGGTTTGTAGGAATACAATTTATAAAATGCTTTTAACAGTTATGGAAAATATAATATAATTTATTATAATATGAATTATTTTTTCAGCATAGCCACAGCAGAAAGGCATTTCTACAGGATGTGGTGAAATAGCCACCAAACAGGTTTGCATTATTATCTTTCTTATACTGCACATTGTACTAAATTTCACACCTAAATGTGGTAAATGTATATGCATACACGCTTGTTCTCAGGACATTTCCCAGATGCTTATTATTTCCCCCTTTACGTCAATTTAGTGTAACATCTGCCACAAGGAGGCAATTTTGTAGTCTATATAAAACAAAGAGCTCCATCAGAATCAGCAGCCTGCTTCTTGCAAAGCCACAAAACAGTGGTTTTGCTGGTAGCTGCAAGAACATCTCAAAAATCAGGAAGCTGATGATTTATGCCTGCAGCAGATATAGTTTATGGCTTTCTTGTAACAAGGTTCTTTATCAATGATCTCATCATGGATGAGAGGGTAGTTCTGACAGATATTACTGAACTCTGGATGGACATGTCACATATATGTCTTTACGTGGCTCATAGAAATATACTTATCTCGGTTTGTGGCATCAGCCTTGACCACAGGGCAGGAAGTGAGGTGGATTGATGGCTATTGTTATCTGGGTCTCTCTTGTGGCTTTTAGAGACACTGTTTTGCAGAGAACACTATGTGAGATCCTGTTTATGAAGTTGGGCTTTAGAAGACAAATGGTAATGCTGCTATGTTCCTCCCTACTGCATAGTAACATTGCTACTTAGATGTTCAGTGGGTGATTGGATTGATAGTGGAGCTTCCTAGATTTATGAAACTGGAAGACTTCGATCTGTCTCCTCTAAATACAGAGTTTGAAGTGGCTCAGGAGTTCATGGTCATCAAGTCCCAAAGTATGGTATATGTTTATGGGTCACACATTGGATCTGTTTTTGTTTGTTTGTTTGTTTGTTTGAGGTTAGGGGTAATGTGATCTTGGAGAGGATATGATTTTGTTTGTTTCTTGTCATGGACAGATCACTCTTAGATTGCTTTGGCTCTTGTCATCTCAGTTCTGCCTGCAGGTACCTAAGGTCAATTTGATTAGAACTCTGCAGATGCCTGGTGGACAAAAGATGGCTAAAGAGACTAGTGTAAGTGTGGTTCGTGTAAGTTATATGATTACATCATGGTTGACAGTGGTAAATACTGTATATGTTGAAGAGAGACTCATTTCTCTTCAATACACAACTCTAAAAATGCTTGGAGAAAGCCATTGTTCAACCTTCTTGTATTTTCAATGAGTGTGTGCAAATTGTCTTACTGTCACATGTAATGGATGATGAAATTCCACACTGATGTAACTATGGAAACTTTTTTGCCATCTAATTAAGTAACACTTGGCAGCTTTAGTTTATATAAGACTTAAGCAATTAAAGAGTTTAAGATAGGTACAATACGATGTAATAGTGGTTACCTTATTGGACAGCTTTCAAAGGAGGTAGATGTAGGGTCAAAGTAATTCATGTAGAGCATGGGTGTCAAACTTGATTACGTCACATGACGTATCGTGACATCACAATATTTTTTGCTTTTGAAGAGCTGGGATGGGCATGGCCTACGCATGATGTATCCGGTCTACAGTCTGTCGCCCCTGATGTGGAGAAACTCTTATTGGTGATTACTGTTCATTATTGCTATATAAAGAGATGAAACCCTAGAAAAGAAAATAATGAAGAAAAATGGAAAATATTTTAAATTTGGTTTTTCTGCCCCCCCCCCCAAACAAACCAGAGATGAGGGCAGGAAATATTATTTCTCCTAAATTGTGCTATTTGTTTCAGAATTACTGCAACATTTTTACAGCAATTATTCCTGCAAAGGACTTGATTTGCACGCAACTGATGCAAAATGGAATAGGTTGATTATTAATTAGTGCAGTAGTTGCTGACTATCTACCAGAAACAATTTTAAATATTGCTGTTAACATTTTAAACCCTGAACAGTTTAGGGCTTATCTGAATGACTGTTTTATTAGCTAGAAAGATGTACAGACATTTTAGAGGCCTTTTCAAAGATTTCTTTGTTGCTAGAATACACATGTTTTAGACATATCTGGATAACAGGAAATAGAATCCTTCATATTTTTGTAGTCCAGATATAATACACTTAAGTGGTAAGAGCTAAAGTATCAGGCTGGTAAAAACAAGAATTTATAGCTGTAAAATGGAATAAAAACATCAGTAGTAGACCTAAGTAACAAAAAATAAAGATCTAGTATATTTGTGTTTAGCAGAACCAGCTTTTGGTGTAATACTTAAAGCACCAGGCTAGAAACCTGGAGACCATAATTCTAGTCCTGCTTTAGGCACAAAGTTAGTTGGGTGACTTTGGATCAGATGTTCTCACTCAACCCTAGAATGGAGGCAATGGTAAACCAATTTACCAATTTACCTTGAATTTTTGCCAAGAAAACTGCAGGGGTTTGCCTAGGCAGTCACCAAAGTTGACACTGCCTTGAAGGCACAAACAAATATATTTATGTAGCAGAAGATGATGGAAAAGATATGCTGAGCCAATTTTCTGGGAGAATAGGGCAGCAAGTATTGCCCTTCGCTGCAAGGAGAGTATTGCATAGATGATAGATAGATAGATAGATAGATAGATAGATAGATAGATAGATAGATAGATAGATAGATAGATTATATTAATATAAGAGGGTAGACTTGATTTTAATATAAGAAAATAGATTTTTTTTTCCTAAATAATGTAATAGAATAGAGTTGCAGACTTAGTTTTTATTTTCAGGTATCTTATTTTTCACAAGTAAATTTCATACATGCAGACTAGGTATTTTCCAGGTATAGATGTTGGGTTTCTAAGTCATACAAACAATATTGGCTCCATTGTACTTGGGATTAGAGCCATGATTTATGTGTTTTGATTCCTATCGATTATCTTTTTGCCTTTCCAAAAGGAATTCTGGGTTTGTTCTTTCTCTGAAACTACACTTTCTAATTTAACTGCTTATATATATTACTTATAATTTAGAAAAGGGTATTGGCCAGAACTCCATGTTCAGAATAATCTATCAGGCTCTCTGATGAATCTCACCAACGGGGTGCGATCCAGCCCACTGGTGAAAAGAAGTAAACTTCCACTTAGTTTCATTTTTCCATTAAGAATAAAGCTGCAATTTAGGAATCCATACTTGATCTCCAAATCCTGGTCAATCATATCCTTCTCTGCCATAAATAAACATTTGTGTCAAATCTACAAACCAAAATTTTAGAGCACTGAAGGAGAACAACACCATTATTTTAAAGCATTAGTGGATTTTTTAGCTCTTGGGGTTATGCCTTGGACTCAATAAAACAAAGATTGAAAACAAGCTTTGAAGTGGACTAGTGGTCTTTGTTTCTAATTAACAAGAATAAATCATTAGGAAACAACTACCGGCAGTCTTTAATTGCAAAAAGGTTGCACCATGAAAAGATTATGCGATACCAAAGCACTAGTCTATAGTTAATTATTGGCTATAATAATAGGGAGCAGTAGAAATTATAATCCAGTATATTTAAAGAACATGAGGTTGTAAAAGGCTTTTTCATTGTAACGCACTGCTATCCTGCAACATTTTTGGACCCAGTGCCTTCCAGGTAAGCTATAAAATATAAACTATTATATTTATTTCTTAATCATTAGAGGTGCTTTTATGCTTAACCAATTTGATGCTAAGTGACTAGTATTTATCAGGTACAAGTACCCCTTCTCTCTGCATGCTACATTCAGTACTGGAGGGCCAGAGGCTGTCCTGTGGTGTAGCACCAGTGATTATGCTGACAATTTTCTAGGATCAGGCCATGATAATTCTTTATAAAGCCATTTTATACGGCCATTTCTTCTTTTCTCTTGAAAAGAATTTGGAGATTTTGGACAAAAGCTGAGCATCTGCGTAAGAAAGAGTTTGATTTTCACAGTAATAGCTGGAAAGAAATCCTGACCCATCTTCAGGTTGTTTGTCCTCCAGTGGTGACAAGTGCCAGGCCTCATAAATGGGACAGGTGGTGACTTTTTAAAATCAGTCATTTTTTAATTCATGCTGACTTTCCTACCCAGTCCTCCAATTGAAAAGTTGTTCCAGCCTAGCAAAGAAAAAATCAGAAAATGACATACGTAAATGCTGGAGACCTTTTTCAGCACTGCAGCTGGCCTTTTCATTTTGAATGGGTTTAATGCAATCAAATGCCTATTTACACTAAATTGTTCTTCAACTTTTGCTGCAATTCAGACATTTGTGTCTTTGAAAAGTCTCCAGCTGTAAATATGGATCCTGCCCCACACCTTGATGCCTGGAATAAATATGTGTTTCTCGCATCTGCGAGAACTAAATAAGATGTTTTTTGACAAGTAATACCCTGAAAAAGCCAGACTGTGTTATATTTTTGGTTTTGGACTACAGCCAGTGCAGACCTGCAAAGTCTGCCTGTTTGACATGTTTATAGATCCATGGTGTCACCCTGGTTTTAGACACGCTTCCAGCAACTCAAGTAACACATTGGTGGGGTTTTTTTTTAAATTAATTTACAAATGACCTTCCATTATAATTTTTAAAACATCAGATTGAAGGCATACTAGAGAACATAGCAGACTGACATGTCTTGAAAACACAGCAGACTAACATGATTTAAAAAGACAATGCTTCCTTTCTGATTTTCTATCAGAAAGATGCTGTAGTTTGAACACAACCACAAAGTCCTGATTTTAAGAATAATTGTGGTACACATAGATGGATGCCACATTTAATTTAATTTAATTTACAGCATTCCTGTGCTCTGTAATGATGAGTTTTTTGGGGGGCATCTTAAACAGTAAACTGTTAAAATTCAGTATCATTACAGATAATCCTCAAATTGGAACCCTTCATTTAGCGACTGTGTGAAGTTACAATGGCACTGAAAGAAGTCCCTTATGTCTTGTCCTCCTACTTACAACCTGTGCAGCATCCCCATGGTCACATGATCAAAATTTGGACTCTTGGCAACTGGCATGTATTTACAAGGGGTCACGTGATCACCTTCTCAGCCAGCTGCTGACAAGAAAAGTCTATGGGGAAAGCCAGATTCACTTAACCAGAGTGTGATTCATTTAACAACTGTTTCACTTAACAAGCACCTTGCTTAGAATAATAACTTCATTGTCACTTTGAATGTACACTAATCGGCACACATTAAAATGAAATTTCATTGCATACAGCTCTCAAAGGGTCACCACTTCCAATATACACTACATAAATATGACAAAAATAAATAAACAAATACAGAATTATCCATATACCCACGTATACTATATGGCACAGAGAAACAACACAATATGGAAATAGCAAGGGAAATTCTGGGTCCCAGCGGTGGTCGTCAAACAAGGGCTACCTTTATTCCATAAATAACTGATTAAGCCATTAATTAGCTATTAATTATTAATGAATTAATTAAGTGATTAAACTGGAGAAGAGTTTGGTGTTGTGGTTAAAGCAACAGGCTAGAAAGCTGGAGACTGAATTCAAGTCCTGGCTTAGCCATAAAAGCCAGCTGGGTGACTTTGAGCCAGTCATCCTGTCTTAGCCCAACTCACCCCGCAGAGTTGCTGTTGTGAGGAAAATAGGAAGAGGAAGAAGTATTGATATGTTCACTGCCTTGAATTTTCTGTAAAAATAATAAAGGCAGGATACAAATAAAAGGCAAATAGAAACCCTTTTTATGTGGTTTATAGGGCCAACCAAACAAATCTCGGAGGAGTTTTCCATAACTGGGATGCTGTTTCCGAGAAAGTTCTCCTTCTCTCTTGACAGCAAACTGCACACACTGGCGGGACTTCAAGCAGGGTGTTTTCAGATATTCACTTTGCTGAGCAAGTTGTGCTTAGCAGTCATACATGTGGCCTTGGGAAGTAGACAGTGCAGCACAGATGCTGCTAGGTAAAAATGATTAATACGGAAGCTTTCAACATGGTCCTTTTGACGCAACTTTTTAAATTCTGAAGATCCTGCCTGAGGTTAACAGCACTGTTAATATACCTTGAACCAGTTTCATGTCAAGAAGGAAGATTTAGAATTGCAAAAGTTGGAATATAACATTTCAAATAGAAGAAGCTACATAATAAATACCCAAAGGTTGATGTTTAATAATTTTGATAGCAAATAAGTTAGATGATGATAATATCTTGAGCATGTTAAATATGGATCACTCCACAATTTCTCTGTGAAGGGAAAATCATAATGATAAAAAAAAGTTAATGTCTTAAAAACAAATACCAGCACTCCAAAACTAACAGGATGTTCAAAACTAGTGCTCGAAGGGGAAAACTGTAAAAATAACACAACCCTTCAATCTTCCTAATCCTCTGCAAGATTTTGCAGTCAATTTTGGTCTGCATTTTTGTGTGTGAAGCAATTTGCTTTAATAAAGCAGTACGCTGTGATCTTCCTGCTGATAGAGTCCAGAACTAGGTGTCTTTGGATATATTGTGCTGTATTACTAACCCTGAGGGGTCAGTAGTTTAGACAGCCTAATGAACAAAAGCAGTCTGTCCTCTCCCGGGTACATCTGGTTCACTAGCAACATTTGGTTTTATTTCTGAGACTTGTGTCACATTCAGACATTTTCCATTAAGAAATTTCTTTTGAGATCCCTGGGACATATTTTTAACCTTACCACTATT